TATCTTATAAAACAGTTTCAGCATGGGCAAGTTGCAAGTGAGGGAATAAAACATCACCTAGCAGGTCTGAAGGGTTAATCAGATACACTGGAAAGTTATCACAGCTACACTGACTCGCTGCTCTGAACAGATGCTTGCAAACAACAGATTTTAAAAAATGCTGTAACATAAATAAAACAAGCTAATCTGCTTGAGCTTATTCGATTTAGTTGTGTTAGGGTCTGTGGAAAATGTTAAGCAAGATTTAATTTGCTTAACAACCCTGTTATTGTTTTGGTTTGCAAGAGTCCTCCTGCATTGGCGACCGCCTGTGCCAACACTTTCAGTTTGACACTATTCTATTTTTGGTCCCAACATGGCCTTAAGGCACCAATGTCTTCTATCAGAACTGCTGTTCAGAAGTGCTCACACCTTTCTGATGTGGGTGCGTGTGACCATTTCTGTAAAGTTCCCAAACCAACAGTCCAACATTAACACCCACGCATCTAATCCCTCGTGCTTCATACCCAAAGTGAGCCAGCATTTGAACTTCTCTCTCCGTGTCTCTTCTTTCATTTGAAACATAATTTCTGTCACATAAATAAATGAGTCAGACACTAATACACTATTATACTCATATTTTAACAGTACTGCGTCCCTACCCTCCATACGATGGTTAGCTCCACACTCAGTCATTGTACCAGTACATTTATGATACAACCTTTAGTCAGCAGAACGCTAAAATAAATTTCCCCCATTAAGTCATGACTTTGTTTACATAAGCTGTTATGAAGCAAGGTCACTTGATGTCTCCATCTGTGCTAAGGACCCCAGGGAAAATTATCCCTACGTCACTAAGGATCCTGTGTCAAGTGTCTGGAGTAACCTCAGTGCCTATCAAATTAACTACGTGTCAGAATAGACATCCCAGAGATGCACTGATCAATCAGCCAGGTACCAGAATCTGACAATTTCCAGCAGTCTTGGCTTTGACCAGTGACCGGTCAGTTAGCCTCATGTATGTCAGATGAGATGGTTGGTTTAATGCAATAGCAAGCAAATAGTCATGCACATACTTACTGCTATGCTATAAGCAGCATGCATGACGGCCAGTACTCAGTCTGAGTATAGAATACACAAAGTTTGCCAAACGAAACCAAGGGGGAACCCTAAGTATGAAAATCTTCCTAAAAACAAACCTAAGCTGAACATGTTCAGTTTGAAGAAGCTAACAAAGCCAAAGTGGCTAAAGCTAAAGCTATTCAGACGCAAAGCTAGCCACAAGCTAGCAGCCTCAATATGAGCGAAGATCAAAGCGAAAAAGAGAAACGGGTCAATGTTTTGTTACCTAGTGAAGTTATACTGCAAAATGGAGTAAGTACCTGTGATTAGTTTTGTTATAGGACTGCTGCATGTGCTTATTTTCTTAAGGTAAAATATATCAGCAGGTAAGGTTCATCTTCAGTTAATTACAGTATATGTAGCTCTTTCCAGTAGCTCAGCGCTTTATATTTAGTTGCTTCACCGAGAGAAGATCCTAAAACTTTGCTAAAAACATTTTGCATTGAGGAAATGTTGACTTTTGCTTGCATTCTGTTTTGTCAGTTAAAGGTCTATGAAAGAAAAATATGAATTGTTAAAAAGTTAAAACATCATCAGAAGATCACTCAGAAAAAAATTACTAGAAATTGGAATGGGACAAGAAAATTGCAATCAGTACACATGTACATCAATCTCAATCTCCAAGTTGTTCTGAGCAATCAACACACCCTCACTTACTCAGAATCTAATATGTGTCAAAGAGGGTATCAGAAACATGCTTGTGATGGTCAAATATATGACCATCTTCTTTCTCAGATTTCACTGTTTTCATCTAGACTAGACTTTTTTCTAGAATTTTTTATGCTAACAAAAAAAAGCAGTGCTTGTACAAGAAAACAGTGGCTCCTAAACAGATCATTTAAAAGGAGCTATAATCAAATTTCACACCATTTAAAGACCCTAATTAAACCTTCCTCTCGAGTGTAAACTAAACTATTTGCCGGCTTGTCATTAAAGAGCATTGTAAACATTTGTGCTTCCTTTGTTATTTTGTGTAAACTGAATCGGCTAAGCACAGCTAATCAAAAGTGCCTTTCAAAGTAAAGCTCAGTGGGGTCCTGGGGTGGCAGTCTCGAAAGCCCTCATTTCCCAAAGAGCTCTTTTGTCCTCTCATAGCTTATAAATTATTAAATATCTGACCTATATTCTCTGTCTTGGAAGGGTTGGTGGAGAACTTGAACAGAACACAGTGACACAGCAGAGTTGTTGTGATGTTTTTTTGTTTTTTCATCACATCTCAAATTAAAAGTGATGATGCTGCCGCAAGCTTTGTCCCACCCGCGGGGACAGTTTAGCAATAACTGCAGAGAAAACAACGGTTTTAATTAGATCTGATCTAAAAAAAGAGAGAGAGGCATTTTTAGCCAACTGTGGCAAATTTAGAAGTAGAGATCAGTGAGCATAAGAAACCAAAACAGGAAGGAGAAATAACAAAAGCAGGACATATAATTTAATATACCTGCACTGTATGCAAACCTTACTTTTATTTTCTGTTTGATTGTTTAATACAGCGGTCCCCAACCCACGGTCCGTGAGTCGTTTGGTACTGGTACTGGTTTTGTTTTGTTGTATTTATCCGTGACACCTTAAAAGCAGGTCCGTGAAAATATTGTCAGACATAACAGACAAAAAAGGTTGGGGACCGCTGATTTAATATATAAAATGCTCAAATAGAACCCTGACCAATATAACTTTTCTGTTTAAAAAAAAAAAAACAAAAACACAAAAAACACAAAAAATCATGGAAAATCTCTTGTATTAAAAAAAAAAAAAAGACAAATAGTCACTGATTAATTTTGCAACAATAAACTATTTCATTTGACAAGTAATTTGACTATAGAGAGCTTGGACTCAAAAAGGTTTTGTTCCCTTTGCTTAGCAAATATAACACAACAACAAATAAAAATATACTATGTCATAAAAACATCTACAAAGTCTTACTTAATTAAAAGTTTAGAATCACGAGGAGAAAACTGAGCTAAAAGCATCAAAATGAAAACTACTCAACTGCAAAAATACATCCTTGTGAGTGTTATTAAAAACAGGAAGTGGCGCTCGTTTATGTGTCCTTACAGATTAAACATTTAATCGTTAGTTATTATTCATCCCTGGCTCTGTTCCACAGCATGTTTTTTGTCCTGTCTCCCTCCCCCTCACTCCATGGCCACCCCTCTCTGGAGGTTTCTTCCTGTTAAAAGGGAGTTTTTCCTCCCCCCTGTCGCCAAAAGCTTGCTCATGTGATTGTTGAGTGTACCTCTCTCTTAATGTAGAAGCGAGTATTGTTGTGATTTGGTGCGATATAAATGACACTGAACTGAATTCAATTATAACTATAGAGTTGAACTCTGTGCCTCTGTGGTTACTCACATAAATATGTGGGATGATTAATCAGGTAATCTAAGCAAATCTGCAGTCATGTTTTGATGTTGGACTGAATCTTTGCTTTACTGTCAGGTGCTGAACTATTTTACTTCTTTGGGCCTTGAAATAAAGTGTGAATTTAATTTTAGGATCATGCAATACTAGATAACTGAAACATTACAAGACACTCTAACCAAACCACGAAGCTATAGCCCACTCAGGCATCACAAACCCAAAGCCTCCTAAGTTCAATGTAAGATCCTTTTTCTATGTCTTTTATAATGTGAAAAATACAGCTGTCAGATGAAAGTAAACATTTCCCTCTTAAATTTAAGGAAAAACTGAATCAGTAAAAGAATACCACATTACTTTCTTCTACTCTGAGTCCCAGTATTTCTGTAGCATCAGTACATTTTACCTTCAGCATAAGGCTCCGCAGGATGTTTCTGACAGGTTTGGAAAAGTTTGTGCGAGCTTGGTTTGTGTGTGCGTGTCATTTTCTTTCAGATTGCGGCTGTTGCAGCTTCAGTGAATAGGGACGTGACTCATAATTCATCTCTGTGAGTGACACAAGTAAATGAATCATGTTCGAATGCAAAGAGTTATCCCATAGCTGCATGAACTGCTCAAGCTTTAAGTGGTGACATTTTGTTAGACTATCTCCTATAGAGGTGCCAATCCTGTAAGATTATTTTGGAAGCATTAAATCATTTGATGGGAAAAATGAAGTGATGTCATGACTTTTAGCTGTGATGTGGCTGAGGACGTGATGCTATTGCTACTTGAAGAAATGGATGAAACTGGACAACAGACAAACTACGCAGCTTTGGAACAAAGAGTGCATCTGCAGACAGCCTTGCTCTTACAGCTTTGAATGATGAATCTCAAGAGGTGCATGAATGAAACTATACAGGGGAATATTCTGGAAGGTTGTAACTAAGATGCTTTGAAACAGATGACGTCTCTATACCTGTTGTTCAGCTATTTGCCCTATTAAGATGCAATATCATCGGAGCAGTAAAGACACAACTCGTGGCTGCAACATATTTCTTGATTGGGGGCCAAACACCAGCGATAGAGCTTGAGAAGGTTTAAAGCGGCCTTGAACCTTACAATAGGTTTAACCAATGAGGGGAGAAGTACGATCAACGGCTCTAGAGGCAAGCACAAATGCTTCACTAAACTCTTAAACAGGACCTTAACATTAGAGAAAATGAAGGGAACAGCAGTCAGACAGCATTTATCTAATCTCGCTGTTTAATCTGTGCTATCAATGCCACTACACATACATCCTGGACAAAACAAAAAACCCCGTATCCTCACTAAGATAAGTTAAACCAAAGAAAACAGGAGAGACGGGTTCAGGTCAGACAGTACACAGACATGGCTGTGCACACAAACGTCCCACATAAAAAACCTGATCTTGGCTATGCAAGCGCTTCGAAATGTCATACCAAACATACCTGCGTGGGGAAATACACAAACAAAGGACTGGAGAAGCCCTCTCAAGCGAGAGAGCTGGTTGCACTCAATGCGTGGAAAGCATGCCTCTGACATACCTCTCATTGGATTCTGGATCCACAGGATGCCTCCGATAAGGTGAGGAGACTGGCCGAGCATTGTGACTCACTGACTGCCACTTCCCTCACCTCAAACGTCCGGAGCGAGCACCTTAACTAACTGTGTATTGACACTCACGGGGAGAGGCAGGTGACCACCCCTGTCCACATGCCACACCACCTGCTGACAGGCGACCAGCCTCTAAGAGACTGTTCTTGTGGAACAGGTTGAGCGCTCACACGGCGCGCTGTTGCATCACGAAAAAGACCCGTGAATAAATCCTAGCAGAGATGGGTTTATCTTAATGTTCTCTCATAAAAGTGATTCAGGATCCCCCAGAGAAAATGCCGAGGCGACCGTGTCAAAGGACTTCGGCGATCCTCGGTCGCAGACCTGTTAACCGGGGCTCCAATCGCAGAGCAACGTCGAGGCGCGCAGGCAGCCACAATGTAAATACAGAAAGAGGCTGCGCGTTAACACGAGGCTTTATGGTGTGTGATCATGGATCAGCACTCTGAATACCAGCCGTACATTGATTCTATTGTACAGCGTAATAATAGGCTCGGAGAAGATGACCAAAACGGCGCATCTAACGCTGACAGAGCAGAGGCTACAACATCACCCAATCACAGCCTTTCACAGCTGACCTGACTGTGTCTTGGCTGAATCGTGTAAATCCTTTCATATGATAACTATATTATTGTATGCAATATTAGAAAGGACACAAAAAGCCTGACACACCGGTGTGGACAGCACATTGTGAGGCGCCTTACCTTCCACGGCCATGGTGCTACTCCACAGATTTGGGCATCACTCGCAAAGGGGAGCAGACGAAATGTAAAAGTCAACGCTCGCTCATTGTACCTTGTTTGGTGTGTTATCACCACTTTGCTGCGGGCAAGCCGGAGCGCACAGCTGCTGCCGCGCCTTAAAGGATTCTGGGAAGTGTAGGCTCAGCGCTTACTGGAAGGAAGAGGAAGTTCCCTGGGTTTTGCAGAGAAAGCAGTTTTAGCCGTAGCTGGAAATGTCTGTGTACGCAGCACATTTCAACGCAATTAAATCAAAGTCTGCAGGACAGAACACACACACACACACACACACGTAAAAAAAAAAAAAAAAAAAAAAAAAAAAAGCTTAAATATTATGTGAGAGAAAGCACGCCCACTGGATCTAGATTTTAAGCTTGGTACAATTACACAATGGAAGCCAGGAGCTGACATATAAGATAAATCCTGTTGTCTACGCAGGAAAAATAATTTGCTTCCTCCTTTTAACTAATCAGGTCTTCGGCCAGTAGTTCATGAGCCAAATGTTTGAACACAATCTCACCACTTTGTTACTGTAGCAGCTAGAGAACAATCAAGAGTTAATTTCACTGATAATTACATTGTAGCTCTTTGTCTGTCTTACTGGATCCTTAAAAGAACAGTGGAGCTTTCACACACTGGGGCCTGATGACTGGATGTGGCACCTCCTTTGTCACCTTCCAAATCTGTTTCAAGTCCATTGTTACATCAGATGCTTTTGTTGTTGTTGTTGTTGTTGTTGTTGTTGTTATTATTATTATTATTATTATTATTATTATTATTATTATTATTATTATAGCCTAAGCTCAATCTGTCACTATCCAGGTGGTCTGTGCTGTCACCATATCTCTTGAGTGAATGATATATCTATGACAGATTTTAGATTGACATGCTAGACAGTGCTTGACCAACATCATCAAAGCACCAAATTAGAGATCTTAGAAATTAATATAAACCCTACGCTGCCTACAGTGACTACAGTCCAGTGATCACTACAGTCATCACAAAACTAAAGAAAGAGTATAGCATCAAGTCAGTCAAATTTCTGGGATATTGATCTAGTCAGTGAGGTAGCAGAGGGGGTTGTTAATCAGGTTCAGCTACTACTAACAGGTGGATTATTGAGACAACAATGCAGGTAGAGGCCACCAGACATAGTAGTAGTGGACAAGCAGAGGAAGATAGCCGTAGTGATTGATGTAGCTATACCAAGTGATCGCAATATTAAGAAGAAGGAACATAAGAAAATTGAGAAATAACAAGAGCTGAGAAAAGAGCTGGAGAAGATGTGGAGGTGAAGGAAACAGTGGTCCTCATGGTAACTGGAGCCAAGCTCGAAGGATAAAGACAGCTCCGTGGGAGAGGGGGGAATTAATATATATGTTACTGTTACTAGTACTAATTACGACAGTACAAGCATTTTCCAGAGAATTATGTCTTCATTACTTAGGAATGCTGCTCCCCTGTTGAGCTACTTCTTGTAGCGACACAATATTCTACGTCTTAAACACAAGATGGTGCCAGAGCCTTTGCAACGTCAGTTTTCATTCAATAAATCCAGACTTTCATTCAATATAATCTGACTTTCATCAAATATATTCGAGTTTCATTCAGTATATTCAGATTTCTATTTTAACTGAATATTTTCCTGTTCGCTTAGTCTTCAGCCAGGCTGTGTCCCATAATGTGTCTCGCGGCTCTACTCTAGTAAAAGTGGAACGTTTTGTTCAAAGAAGTTCTATGCATCTATGATCTATGCATTAAGTAGATGTTTATTGCTTTCTTATTTAAAGATACAGGAATTCAACTCCATCAAGCCAGCAAATTAAATCGACTAATTTACAGTTTACATTTAGTTGTATTTTTGTTGGATACAATACCATTCCTGTATCGTGTGGTGGACGGTGAATAATGGCATTAAAAGTACACAGTGAGTAATAGAAAGATGACAGATTGTCAAAAGAAAACAATTACAGTTATCAACACCCGTTTTCTCGATCGCTGATGTGTGCAATTGGGCAAAAGCAGTAGGTTAACTACTTTATAAGGATAAGAGGAAAAAATAGTAATTATAACTTATTTTCATGTAGATACTTTATCATTTTAGATACTAATGAAAATACCCCTAAAGAATTTTGTGCAAAGTGCAATTCCTGCCTTTAGTTTTTGTCCAAAAACTGAACAGATGATGACAATCAACCCCACTGCTACTGTCCTCAGTGTGCAGTGTTGTTGTAGTTTGGATCAAAAACAGCCATAGCGGAACTGAATGCTGATAAATAAATGAGACACAGACAAAGACAATGTAAGATAATTGCTGGTGGTTAATATGCTGCATTCTCATGACCAATAGATCAATAGACCTATCTCTTTTGTGCTAATTTTGAATGAAAGCAGTGTTAATACCACAATATTAGATTTTATTTAATTTTTTTAGATTCACCCTATGATGTGGCCACTGTAGGTTTCCCAGACCCTTACAGCTGTGATCCTATCTTCTCCAGTGATAGAAAATTAGGTGCCACCTCCTGACCCGACAGAAGGGGAGAAAGAGTACTGAGGCTGGACTGCAAGGAGGAGAAAACAGACGTCATGAGGCAGCTGAATCTGTTTGACAGCAATGAAGCAGATCATACTTTGTGAACACGGTGCACAGTTTATTATTATTGCTTGTCACTTAATTGTAAATCCCTAAAATGCTGAAATATCAGATACACCTCATAGCCACTTACAGGAAGCTGAAGCAGAAGCCACAAGAAGCGCAACGACAACAACGACAACAACGACAAGCATTCTGTGAACATGAACACAAAGAACTATTTAATTATTTAAGAATTATTGATTGATTGTAATTATAGTAAAAATGGTCTCACCTGTCTGCTTGGTTGTTTAGGTCAAAAAGATGAAGACACAAATACTGAAACGTGCGTCTAAGTTTAGGCAAAACTGTGCAGCTACACTCTCCAGTTTATAGCAAGACGCAGCCTGGTTCATTTATACTCCCTTTAGTGCTTTAACATACAAATAATGGGCGGTATTTTCTGTTAAAGCATGTTTGCATGCATATAATGTGTTCACATTGAAGACCTGCAGACTTCACAGTTGATTTCACTTTTTGACAAAAATTACCGTAAGTACAGATATATAAGCAGGAAACAGTCTCCCATTATCAAACCATCCCTAGGTGCTGCTCGGCAGTGATATTGCGTGCTACCTTCAAAATTATATGCAGATTTGTCCTAATTAGTTAAATGGACTGATTCTTATATAGCTGCTTGGATTCTACTAGCAAAGTTTGAAACTTTACAAAATCACTCCATGAAATCTTTTAAGAAAACATCCTTGAAAGCAGTCTTTGAGTGTGATTTAAGTCTGTATGTGAGTTTCAAGAAGGCTGTGTGAGTACACTATCCAGTTTACAGTAAGAAACTGGCTACCATGTGTACATTTATAGTGCCTCACATTTGAATTAGGAGATAAAAGTTTTCACTGGTCGGTTGCATAAGTATATGCAGTAGCTGGCATTCAAATTTATAAAGTATGTCAGCTAGGCATGTTTCTCATTGTTAGCATGTTAGTAATCTGAACATGACTGAAAATCCTGCAGAACCAGATTATTAGTTGTTCTTGATTTTACTAACCACCACTTTACTTAACCACCACTCGGCCTTGTTTGGCAGTGATATTGCCTGAAACCTCTAAAACCTTGTGCAGACTTTTCCTATTCACTTGGGGTTCAGCCACTCTGCAATGAACTAATGGATATCTGGTTAAGAACGCTTCCTTGAAAACAGTTACTATTTAGAATTTTAAAGAATATCTTTTTAGTTAAAGAGCTTTACATAATGGGAGTTTATGTTATCAGCTCTTACATAGTGTCTCATGGTGATCCTGTGTTCTTGACAGACATGTCAGGGTGTTCATATCAGTTCCAGTCAGAATACAATGTTCTATTTGATAGAAAGGAAAGCCAATCTGCATGTTTTTTAAAATCATACAAGGAAGAGGAAGACATGGAGCCTGAGCAAAGACTAAAATAAAACCTGAAAGAGGACTATATCACCTTAGCAGCCGTCGATCACTATTGCACATTTTATTTGTTTATTTTTTGTGCTACTTTGTCCTCCATTGTTTCTTGTGGTTTTTGGTTCATTTACTATTTATGAACATATTTAAATTCAACTTTTACAGCAGAATGGAAAGGTGTAATGGACTTTTTCTGATGAGAGTAGCAAAAGGGCATGTCTGCCTTCTCAAACCTAGATTAGAGAATGTTGACATTAAAAATGGTAACTACGGCGTTACAGTCGGAATCAACCATAACACTAATAAGCAACTGTGTAGTAAAAATACTTTGTTTGGACACTTTTGTGATAAAACTGATCAAAAAGATACCTTTGTGATAAGGTATCTACAAAAAATTGGACCTGGCTGATGTTTCAGTTCATCATTTAACCAAATGCAGCTTAACCCATTTCACACTCACCACTCACCACAATATTAGTCTCGTTTATAGCAGGCAACTAAGAGGTGCAACTACACTCAAAAAAATAATTCATTGGATGAACGTAATTTTATCTTGCCACTTATATTCCATCTAAACAAATCATGTTATATTAATCCATCTTGATTGTGTTGTGTCAACACGATATATGTGTGTAGGTTTAAC